TGATGTTCGATCTGTCTAGCTTATCAGGAGTTACAGTAATGGAAGTTTGACCGAAATGACGTGTTAAGGCCATGAAAAGGCAAATTTTACTTAATTTCCTTTAGTGGTTCCAAAATTAATTTGGACGTGGTTGTTTCAGTAAAAACACATATCTTCCCATACGAATAGGTTTGTATTCACTTCTATTATTCCTTTTTATCAACATGTTACGTTATTGAAAAGAAAACGAGGAATGAACTGAACAGACATATCCGTAAGGTCTGGAAAACCTCTGCCAAACTAAAGAATATTTGGCCTTTCTGTGAGCCATGTGGTTTTTAAGTATGCTAATGTATGACCTATAGAATGAGTACAAAGACCTTAGGAATAAGTCGCACAAGCGCAAGAAAAAGGGATGACTTGGGTGGGACGCGTTACCGCGTCACAATGTCCCACGAGGTGCGCAAAGTGGGACGCGTCACGCTGTCGTCAACGTGTTAAAATTTGAACACTCCGCGCTGCGTATCGCTTCATGTAGATGCCCGTCTACGAAACAGAGACAAAAGCATGGATGCGTCGGCTTCGATCGACCTCTCAAGTATAAGTTATGCTTTCCACATTCAGGATTGAGCTAGGCATTCACCAGACATGAGAGCGACTTTATCCAGATCTCATCTATGCAAACAACCTGACGATCAACAGACTTTCAGGGAAAAAGTGTGGTTTAGCGAGTGGTAGGATAGTTGAAGCGATGTGAGAAATGCAGAGCGTGTAAATAAAGTGGCGCTTTGGCTACGGCTCCAGTTCTCTCTTGAGCGTCAAGAAACTCTTCTTCGGTGTCTGAGTCTCTCCAAATTTAGAAACCAGCGTCTACATATACTGGCATCAGTATTCCTGGCCGAACCAATTGGAGGGATGCTAGGCGAATCAGAATCATGCTTTTATCACCTTCAAGTCAACGTCTTGAGATCTATCGTTCAAGATGACGAAAGGAGCAAAAAGGTTGCATTTGCATGGGCATTAAAAAGCTCGGAAAAACCGCGAGGGCTATTACGAGTTCAAATTCCCGCCGTACATCTCTATCAAGTGCAGGAACGCTTCCACTCCGTCCTCATGGTGCCGACACTAGAAATACTTTTTAACTCCTTGACTTGGAAATAACATCTCACACTTCTACTGCATCCTATTCTATCGATCGATTTGTCTCTACTCTCCAAAATCGCACGCTTTAACCCGATTCTTTCATTGCGTCGCCTGATACGTAGCCGCCCAAGGCGCACTTCTTTCCATGCCCCGCCTTTGGCTCCGCGCAACCTACCCTTGATAGTCCGTTTTGTAGTTTGTTTCTCTTCGGAAACTGAATCTTCATGCGTGAAACTTTGTAGTGTTGTTTCCAGTGATCACAACTGACATATTCATGTTGGGAAAGAATGCAAGAATTTTCCGCGAGGATTCCTTTAAGTATTGCTATGAATAAATGTTTGTGCATCGCCTGTGTCAAAAGTCACACAGCTATCCGTTCGTTGAGTAAAATTTGAACAAAAAGACTTGAAATACATCCAGAGTAAATCTACCTTCATAGATTTGCTTTCCATCATAGAACCACATTGACACGGTTGATATCGGGATTCCGATGAGCGCCAGTCGAATGTTTTGCATCCAAACAGACGTCGTGCTCTCCTTGAGCATTTTTTCCAAGTACACGCCTAAAAGAATGTTTCTGGACGTTTTTCTTTATGGATTTCAACGTCGGGCAATACCAATATCACCAACTGTTAGGGTGCCCAGAAGATTTGTGTCACTTTTTATTAGGTTACCGGAAAAGTCTTTGCGCATTTGTCAACTTTTTTTCGAATTTATTTTTCTTCTTACTACAGCCAACAATTAACAAATATATACACCACCACAATCGTCAAAACATTGCTTTCAGCAGGTAGCTTCTAGTTGCCGGTTGCTAAGAAATACTAAACTTTTGAGGCGAAAAATTTGAGTGACTCCACTCCGAGTACGTCTTTAACCTCTCCAATTTGACTTGCCAAAAATCAGCTTTGCCTAATTTAGCAGTGGCCTCCTCAATCTTCTAACTATGAGTACATGTGGTTCTATCAAGTGTTTCGACCAACTTTTACCAGCGCTCGATATCCAGTGACCAACTTCGAGGGTTTCGCCAACCTTTCACAACTTTCCCAACTGTTGCAGCACATCGCCTTTTTCGCAAATGAAAGGTCAAATGAATAGTTCATAACATGACGTGATTCCACTCCTTCTTGCCCTAATTTTAGGTAGGAGAAGAGAATCGTGCGCATGACATTACAAAGTGGAAGAGCTCATTCTAGAACAAAGATGAAAGGTGGAATAGAGAAAGAGCGCGCTTACCAATACCATTCAGTACGTAGAATCTACTGAAAATTGAGTCTTGAACTGTCGAAAACGGCAAGATTTTTCCTTACAACCTTATGGAATTACGGTAAGTACTGCAACATGCAAACGGTCTGCATAGCTTTCCCAACACTGTTAGGGCGACGGCGAAACCTTCGCCCCAGGCGGGAAGCGAAACTGCACCTCATGCTTTACGGGTAGAGTTGTGCCACTGATCACTTAAAGGAGGAATTCACGATTAGAATGAAGGTCGAAGAAAAGGAATTGACCTAGTTGAGGGACCCACGGACCTCCTGAGGGTGCGAACTGATGCGCAATTCGCATCGAAAAATTTGACCTCGGCGACCTATCATGCCTCAAAGTTGGCGGGTCCGGCGATCTCCGCCCACCGACCATCTGATCACTCGCCGCAGTCTATACGTGGCGAGTGATTAGATAGCAGAGAGCGTAGTGTTGAAGAGGGCACAGCGATGAGAGTCGCATCAATGCTCAAATCAACGGGCAAGGAAGGGGTCCCATTTCTCGGGTTCTGGGCCGTTTCTCATGGTTCTTCCTTCTTTCGTGTACCACTCACCATCCCTAGTTAATTTGAAATGGGTTGCCTTTCCAGCGTGAATTCGTCCTTTAAAATCAAAAACAAGTATGAAGCGTGACGTACCGGCGAACGCTGATGTAAAGCACATAACGACGACACTGACGAATCCAAGAATAGGCTTTTGTTCAATGTTTTCAGCATTGGCCAATGGGGCGTACACAAGCTGTACATCCACAACTCCTACAAACAGCCAATCTTTGGATCAAGTGCGAAACGAGTAGGCGTAAACTCTCACATCGAATCATACCATGCAAGTGCTCAACAGACGGATCATGATCTAGAACCGGTCATTATCCGTCTGTTGATTCTCGAATTTCCATTCGACGTGCTACATACTTACAATACTTCTCAGCACTGGCGACGTAAGCGTTTACCCACTGGTAGACTACCCACTAGCTGCGAGTCAAAGCACTAGACATGCCGATAAAAAAAAACAGAGAAAACTACACTGAATGCGTTGGAGTGGTTGACAGTTCTCTATTTCGGAGCGTTGGTAGCTCCAACAGGCAAGTAGGTTCCCAACCAATGACGCGATTTGAAAGGATTTGCTTTTGAGGCATTTCGTTGTGTAGCCAAAACCGGAGATCAGAGAGCGTAGAACTTTTTTTCGAGAATGGACCGACACAAGGATTCTTACTTACCTATAACAAGGATAACGAGAGCTATCCATTGATTAGTGGAAAGCTTCTTTCCTAAGAAAAAATACATGAACAAGGCAGTGGTGAAGATTTTCATCTGATACGCAACCTAAAAAAAGTGGATTACAAAGCGGTGACTTTTCCTCCTTTATATCCAACACAATCAGATCGCTCCAGTCATAATTGATTTGCTTTTCCTAATTCATACTTCATCTCATCAAGCTTTAGGACCTGATTCCACAGTTGAAAACTTATTCATCGAGAGCTCCAGTTTGAGATTTTAGTTCGAAGTAAGCGCTCGGCTCATCAAAACAGTGGTCCACTGGGTTGGTGTCAGGGAGTTTTAGGTCAGCGCGATACTGACAGGGATGAATGTGCTAGCACAGGCTTGGTACCAACATCCATTTCTCCTTAAAGGAGGAATTCACGATAAGAACGAAGGTCAAAGAAGGGAAAATTGCATAGTTGGGAGACAGGCGGACCTCCTGAGGGTGCTGACCGACGCGCAATTGGCAGCGAAAGATTTGACCTCGGCGATCTAGCATGGCTCACTCTTGGCGCGGTTGGCGGGGTACGCCCACCGACTATCTAATCACTCGCCGCAGGTCTACGTGGCGAGTGATTAGATAGCAGAGAGAGCGTAGTGTTGAAGAGGGCACAGCGATGAGTCGCATCAATGCGCAAATCAACGGGCAAGGAAGGGTCCCATTTCTCGGGTTTCGGGCCGTTTCAAATGGTTTCTTCTTTAAACGTTGTGGAATCTCTAGCAGGTCAACCGAGAATTCTATCTCTTGGGAACCGATCAACTGGATAGACACCCAATCGAATAGATTACCTTAGGCACTCGTGACAGCTACTTGCAACTATGAACGTCCCCCTCATCCTACATTATAGTTTATTCATAACTCGATTCAACTATCAGACTACAGATTCCTGATGGAAATACCAGCCAACGAAGGGCAATCATAAACAACCCTTGGCCATTGTTCACCCGTTACAGAAAATGAAATTACGAATACGAGCGATTAAAACTCGTTCCACTACCCGGCTTAAATACCTGATTCATCCTTACATTTCACCACGGAACAAACCAAACCTGCGAAGTAATTACTTCAGACGGGAATAACTCACCACAAAACCGTAAGTGGCTCACAGGGGGTGATGTGCGATAAGTAGTACTTGTCCCTGAGTAGAGTGTACAGTAAACTGCCGTATACAAACTTGTTAACTTGTTCAAAATTGTCGTAATGATTGCCGTCCTTTCAGACGTACAAGAAAAAAAAATCTGAGAAAACCGTTGAACCCATCACAGCCCCCTCCTTTAAATGCGCTAAACCTAAATGTGCTGCTCCAACTATTGTAGGGATATTGCACCGGTTTCTAGCCCGAAAATAGTTCATCGTGTTCAATGGATTCGCGTCCATCGAAGATCTGCGACAGCTCCCTAACTAAAAACGTTGACGCCACCAGTCTAGTTGAAATCGCACCCGTTGATCAATTTCCGCTTAAAGGTAAAAAGAAGCTTCTAGAAAACACTTTGCGGTCAAATATGTCCCCCCCATGTCTTCATAGGACCATGTTAGATACTAGAGTCTGAGTGTACATCACAAACAGGAATAATGTTCCACGTAAAGTGAACGGCTTATCGTCCCCTCTTCTTCCCAAATGTCATGAGATAAAGTCTAAATGAGCGTATCTCTAACTTGCTACATACTACGTCTTCCAGGAATCCAGATTAGTCCGTCTTTGGAGACTGTCTACAATAGGGAGCGTAATTCGGTAAACGTTTGGATAATCGTTAAATGCCCTAAATAATCATCGGCCTTCGCTTAATGATATCGACGCTGAAGACTGATACAACCTACAAACGAGAATGGCAGACAACGAAAGCGTGAGGAGATGAACCAAGAGTCGAAGGACATGCCTCTCATTTTTAACGACGTTAAATTAATAAGATCTCAAAAGTGAGACGTAGTTTTTTCAAAACAGTTAGTTCTGGCTCGCTACCGTCGCATGAAAGCACAAATCCATTCTAAGAACAGCTGTGGGAAAAATATCTATAGAATGATATAACTGCGAATAAGCGAAAAACATGGGATTTGAATTGTGGAATTTTCTCTGAAAGAAGTCCTATGCCTGTCCTTGTTTTTCATGCAAGTGCATATGCTACATTTCCCCCCCAAACCTGTCCCGACTCAAGATGAAGCGACCAAGGATTTTTCATGGCGTATAATCAGACACCGCTAACAAAAACGGTACTCGCTATAACTTGAGCATATCAGTAATTTTCCATCCTCCATATGTATAAACGCTAACGAGTACTGTTCTGGTGGTTCTGTCGGTGATGTCCCATGTCTTAAACTACGATCCGTACGACACCGAACATTCATAGCGCGCGCCTCGCTTGCAGGCAACGGCCACGTCGAATTTGAACTATGCTTAGAAGATGACGGCAACAGTTGGTGTGTTTATTTAAATGAATACCTGTACAGATAAAGATCCTGATAAGGAGGCGCCTAAACGCCCAACTTTATGATATCTGAGCTGCGTGTCCCAGCAGTGGTTGAGCGCGTGTCTGACTTCAATCGAGTAGTACAGCCGTTGGAACGGCAACATACTGTTGTGGCGGTTTGACAAGCGTAAGAAATAAAACCACAACCGGATCAAACGCTCGCAATAAACAGCCGCTGAACCCACGCCAAATTCCACACAGCGCGCGTCTCAGCAGCAAGTGGAACATTAAAGGACGCAAATTTACTCCGGGACAGGCAACACGCGCCCATCTCTCTCCGTCGAAGTTGAACTTCAGGGTGTGATATGGCGCACCAGCTCGAAAGAAGGAAGAACCAATAGAAGAATAATCGGACACAGAATATCCCAGAGAAAGAGAGATAATCCCCGTGGCCCATACTGCTTCTTTTGTCCCAAGAAACCTCCTTACTTCAACCGCCTGATTTGTGCATCCTGAGGCGACCCCTAATCGCTGTCCACTTCCTCAACATCACGCCCTACACTCTCTGCTATCGTCAATCAATACCTCACACCCCGTATAGAGATGTCGCAGCGAAGTGCCATCAGCCAGGCTGTGTGGCGGACCATATCGCGGCAGACTCCCGCCCAACACCATTCTGATGCTAATCAGTCGCCGATTCACAATTTTCATGCCGCCCTTGCACCATCAGGTTCGCCAACCCTCGACGTCCATGACGTTTATTCTCACTAGGTGAATACTCTTCTTCTCGACCTCTCATCTCCTAATGCAAAATCCTCACTTAACGGATATAGCCGGATAAAGCAATTATGCGTCTGATGTCCCCTTCTATCAACGGTTGTTGGATCCCGGGAAACGCATTAACTACTTTCCAATTTGTTTACAGCTCGCATAGTTCGGCAAATTCGGTGAAATGCGAATTTCTGGCCGCCTAAATCCAGAACTGACTTGCGGGGCAAATACAAACCAACCGACAAGCTCTCAAGTCAGTTCTTTCTTTAATATCCTCCCCCAAGTCAAGGAAAGTCTGAGCCTCGAAACCAAAACAACATCCGCCACCGGCGCCTACATACCCGAGGAAGACGCAGAAGGAATGCCTATATAGTGTCGGCACCATTGTGACAGCGACTCACTAAATACCAGGATTTGCATCCCGGGACCGCTCCCGACCCGGTCTTGGAAGACCATGCGCCCGCCATCGAAATCAGTTGATCGCCCAACAAAACTCGCAAAAAAACAACACTACCAAATACAGCAAGATATCACGCCACCAACCCCCCTCGAAGTGGCCGGACAATTGCGTTGTCAAGACATGATGTCACGAGCGGCCTTGGATCATCTCCCCAGAGCAGAAAATCGTTGCCCGGTTCAGAACCAGCCGAACCGACAAGCGCTCCGGCCTACAATGAGTTGATCAAGCGCCTGAAAGTAGAACTAATTACTGAAAATGCACAACCCGACCGCGGCGCGCGTTCCCTTCAGTCAGGGCACCACGAGTGGGCTTTTCTGGCGAATCCTTCCCCAAGAAGGTTGATAACACTTTTCAACGCGCGCCCTGCCGAACGAGTCAACATTAGTATACAGGAAATTTGTGGTAACGATGTGACATTTCAAGGCCCGAGTCAAGGGTTAGCCCCAAGATGAAATCATACGGTACGATATACGTAAACAATATATAGGATAACTTCATAAAAAAACCATATACATAACAAAAACCTCTCCAGAACTCCATCTTCGCCTATCATCAACCATAAAATTCCGTTCGACCCGCTACAACACATTCCCACAACAGTATCACTCAAAACGAATAGATCACAATGAATGAATATTTACAAGATAATAGCCATCAGGAGTCTTCTACCCACTTGCATGAATCAGACGACGAGGCAATCAATATTATTTACCGAAACAAAAACCTGAAGGCTAAAATCACTCCAATGAGACACTCCATATGCAGTGCTGACTGCTCGTTCTCATCCAAAGAGAGCACACACACTGTAGCCCAAAACACGAACCAGTGCCCAGTAAGAATCATCGTCGAGAATTATAATCACCCGCGCAAGGGAGGTCGTCCCCTTGATTGGGAACGGTCCTACAGTGGTCGTAACCTTAGGGGTCTCAGCTAACAGAATGTATGCACTGGTGCAGATACGGTATAGGGTATCAGCCCACCGAGACACATGAAATACATCCGAAATAAACAAAACATAACTCATTCAAAAATAATCTATTGCAAAAGTCCCAAGTACGCTCCCCTGGGTTCCCCCAAAACCCGAATGCGCGAAAAAAGCCCCCCCCCGACAGTCCCCCCACCCATTCCTTGCTTACAGAAGGTTCCACCTTTAAAATCAAACCCGCGCAGTTGAGACCGCAGCTACACCAAAATGAAAATGCATACCCCGCAAGAACACCAGAGTGCTCACACAATGATGTCAAAACAAACCCTGCACGCGCTGCAAAGGCACCTCCCTCCGCCTATCACTCGCTCCTTCTCCCTTAATACCTCGCTGAGAATGACGCTGTTGTTAGGGACCCTGTCGGAAAAACGACAACCGTGAAGAAAAAGCGCTGGGCAAATGAAGTTGTTTTTTAGGTTACAGGAATAG